CGTGTGTACAGACCTCACTGCGTTCGGTCTGTACTCACGACCTCGGTCAAGATTCTCCCATACAGACCTGCAGCTCGGTTAATAAGAGCTAAGTATTAGACCCAACCTTCCATCATGCGCCGCGCGTATGTTCCATTGATTGTGCTGGCCACTGTATTTTCTATGGCATGGTATAAAATAGTTATAAAATAGTTTCATGGCATACCATGGAAGATCCCACGTGTCATTTGTATTTTCTTGATGTACACGCTCTCCTAAAAGCTCAGTCTTGTGTAAACCGAGAAAATAGAATTGATCATGACTCGTGGGATATTCCATGGCATACCACTCGAGAGCATTGCATAACTGGCATTTCAGAAATAAAAAACGAACAGCATTCGAGTGCTTGCATAGTAACTCTCTAGTAACATTAAAAGCAGTTTTCAAGCTATTTCTTTTTCAAACAATAAATGCCCGAAATGATTTTCTATTTTTCCTTAGAGTTGCTGTAAATGAAATCCAAGTGACGAACTAGTCGCCTATCTCATAATTGTTGTACCTTATTGTATAGGCAAAAGTTGAACCTTTTATATATGTTCAGCTCAAGAAAAAAAGATTTAGAGGGGTTTTTTTCAGAAATAAATTTTGCACACAACCATGTCGAAAGTATTTAAGATAACCTGACAAATGATAAAGCCTTTATCGTTTGTCATGTTATCTTAACTATAGTAGCGGCTACTTCTGATTTTCTGTATGCTTGCAGCAGAAAATTGGCATGTACAAACGGAGTAAATTTTTCAGTTGAAGGGTTATACCTTTGATATAATAGGCTTGATTGGCATATGGTCCGCCTTCACCATCATTTTCACAATTCGAGGACATTCCATATTTGTTGAATGTTTTTTCGGCTGTAGAACTCGATGCACACCATCCACCAGCTTGAAGAGCGAAAACTTTGAAGCCTAGTTTCTTGGCCACTTCATAACATTTGTAAATTGGATCATTTCTCGTCCAAAAGTCGCCATCCAGGATGTAATCTGTTTCTTCTAGGGTAGGGATCGCACGGTCCAAACTGTCGTTGTAACAACCGATCGTCTTATAAACTGATAGATAAGATTTATGTATAGGTTATCACGTAACTTTGACTGAAATTTGGAATAAATACAACATGATTAAAAAATTTTCACTGACTAACAAAATCGCACGTGCGAATGAGTGCATTTTGGGCTTTATTTATTACTCATTCCAAATGATTACGCAAGAAAAGCACTAGATTATACAACAAATAGATGGGGTCATTTGCGCTTTGGCCACCAAGGCATTTTGTATTCAGTATATGAAAGTAATTAAATCCTTCAACCTCACAACCAAAGAGCTAAATGTTTGGGGGCCTTTCGTATGTAGCGTGATGTTGCGTAGGCTCCATCTACGTACCGAGGAACGCGGGCTGGTAATCGAGCCTGGCCTTCGCGCGGTAAAAATGTTGAGAGTATATTCTTATGCACAAAGGAACGAGCGAATGAGCAAATGAACTCACGAACGAACGAGCGAACGAGGGAACAAGCGAACGAACGGAAGAACGAGTGAAAGAACAAGCGAACGAACGAGTGATTATGTTTACCTTCAGTTTGCAAACAACACTGTCCGCTGAATTCCTGTCTACAGTTACATCCCTCTATATTGGGAGTTCCGCCATTAGCACATTTCCCCTGATTACAGGACCGGGTTACCATGAGTTTACGACACGGCGACCCACCGCATAATGGATATCTAGTCACCGTGCGTTTACGATTCTGCATCCCTCCGGTGCCGCAAGGCTGGCTACAAGCACTCCACGAACTCCAAGAACTAACACGACAATTTCTGGGCATTACGCACGATGATGATCGTCGTCTTGTTGACCACGATGAAGCTTCTGTCACAAGGGCGAGGACCAAAAACGACCAAAACAGTTGTGACGTCATTGTCTCAGTGAAGCTTTAATCTAACACGTCTAAAATAAAACGAAATCATATTTGTTGCAAGATTGGCGCAAATCATCCAGAAACAAAAAATCGTTTTAAATTCGCAACGAGATCGCGAAGAAGAAGTGATTTCTCAAAACATTAAACCGAATAAAAAAAACTGCTATAAAATACTTCTTAACAACAATGTTGAAAAACACGAC